AATTATGATACCCCTCCAATGGTGAAGACTTTACGTAAACCTTGTGGTTGCATCATTAAGTATACAACAAAGAAGTCTGTTGTTATAACGTCTCAAATTGAAACTTCAAAAATGGTTTCTGAACATGAAGAAATTACCACAACTGCAGCCAGTTGTCCTTGCCAACGAGTAATGTGTTGGGCTGAAAACTGGATGATGCTTCCCTATTGCCGGCGTGGAAATGGTATGGAGAATACAGGAGTACCTATTCATAAAGTAAAACTTAGTGGAGAAGGAAAGATGCCTGTTGTAAATGCCAGTGGAGAAATTGCTATTTACGCAACTGTTGACAAATCCAAAAAGACCAATCGTCGTCTGACTAGTGGTGATCAGCAACAGGAGACTGGTCCAATAGAATCCCAAGTGTCTCCAGATGTTGTGCAGATGTGTCCCAAACCTGATTCATCTAATTATGTAAATGTAGAACCCACAGCAGAGGGTGTTGCCATCTCCACTGTTAGTCAAGACACTTCAAATGCGACACAAGAAGGTGTTGGCACTAATTATGAAAATATTGACTTTGCACAGTCTTTAGAATACTATGAAAATGCAAAAGATGTATTACAGAGAGCAGGAATTTCTCAGCAAGAAGCAGAAGCAATTGCAGGAGAATTTGAAGATGCTAGAAATATGTCGGAAGATCCATCTTTGTCTTACACTATTAATAATGGTGTCAAATACTGTAATAAATGTGGGCATGCATGTCACATTCAACAAGCAAGTTCAACACAACATAAGTCAGAAACAACAACACCTGAAGTAGAAACAGATTCAAATGTAATGACAGTATCTGCACTAACAGAAAGCTCAGATGCCTCCAGTAACAGGCAAGATGACTACCTCATGATGGAACCTACAAAACATTTGCAGAATGAAGGAAATAAAAATTTTCCTGGTTACTTACCTATGTCTCCAATTACCAATGCAAATACTACATGTAATAAACTGAAAGTCGATCAGGGGCTACCATCAGAAAAATCAGCCAGTATTCCTAGCTTAACAGCCCCAGTGGTAGATCGAAGTCGGAAGCGTTCTGATTCTGAATTTCCACGTGTTCCTGGCTCTGCTATGATGATGATGCACCATTCAGCAAACAGTCCTTACCTGCGACGCCTTCTTATGGATACTGCTGATGATACGCGACGAACACAAATGTTAACACGCAAGAGATCAAGTTCAGCAGACTCCTCACGTTATCTTGATGGTGGATGTGATGACTTTGATAGTGGTCTTCCTGAACGTCCCATCTCGTCATCACAAACAAAACTGACAAATCCTGAACCAACTAGAAAAACATCTGCACCAACACCACCTGTTACAGTATCTGAAACAGATCAACAAGAGGTGTCTCAACGGCAACAAGTTTCAGAAAGACCAGTAGCCACAGAAGTTACTTCTGCACCTGTGGCAGGGGAAGCACCAGTAGCCACAGAAGAGGAAACTGATTCTGGCAGTGCAAGCAGTGGTTCTTTAAGAACTCTTGTGAGAGAAAGTGGTGTACTGGATGGAACGCAGGGTACACAGCCATCCCAAAATGAAGTCTTGTCTCCTTCTTCCGTAAGTCAATCATACAAACATATATTATTAATGTCTGCCAGTACTTTTTCCTCTTTTATTTATTTAACATCAAAAAACTTGAAACTGTGTGTTATGTACTTGAGGAGGAAGTGCAATCTGTTCACATTTTCTTGAACTCTGGAATTCCTACCCTATTCCCCTCTGAGCTCAAGAGAACATGCACAGATATCGTGCTACAATTATGTCCAAGAGCAAAACAAGGGATCATTTTAGCATTTGCTCAAAGGATCAAGTGATCTAGACGAAACACCTGATCAAGAGGGGGAAAATATAAATACTTAAAAACTATGATTCTTAAAAATCTTTTTATTAGAATTTCAGATTTGTGGATCCTTTTCAAAACCTTTTTTAGAGAATAGACACTGGAATTAAATGAAAAGGAATTGCTTTATCAGTTCTTATGCTATTAATATTCCTAAATATTCCAAGATTTGTATTTCTTAATACAATTTTCAGTGTTATGAACCATCAAATATATTTGACTTTTAAGCATAACTACATATCAATGATCTGTACAGGTACACATTCGGAGATCATCGAGTGTCCCGTGTAAAGGAAATAACCGAGACTCAAGCAGTTCCAATGATTCTGGTGTTTCAACCGGGTCTTTAAGGCAAAGAGGAGCAGATTTTGCAGAGTTTGAACTTCCTCTTACAACAGCCATGTCTGCAAGACGTCATCACCACGCATTAGCAGCTCGACACCCTGGAGCTTTGTGTCTCCATGCGTCATTACCAAGGCGTTCAAAATCTGTGGACCCACTTCGAGAGCTCAGCTTCCAGTTCCAGAAAATTAAGATTCCAGCTAAGTCATCATCTGCTGAAGCTGAAGTGCCTATCTGTCCAGCTAAACGGGATGGTACTAAAGGTATGTGTTACTCCAAAAACTATTCTTTTGTCTTCTTTAGAAAATTAAATTTATTGTTATAACCATTGAAGTCCAATTACATATTTTCTTGATAGGATGGAAAATTAGATGTTTTGTCAATTTGTTGTTGTTATTATTTAATATAAAATATTAGAAAATAGAAGATAGCTTTAGCAATATTTGATTTTTTTGTTGTGGTTTTAGGCTTCCAAAGTCCAGGTGGTGATGGAGCAATGGTTGTACCATACATGGATTCTCGTAGTACTAGCAGTGGGACATCAGATATGTCTGACTATATTGAAACCCTCTCCCTGTCCTCCCATAGTTCATCTGATACTCCAGATAGTTTGAGGTAAAGAAAAATGATTTTTACAATTTTATGTATTATAAATTAAATGAATAAAAAAATAATTCTAGTTTCATTTTATTTTAGACTCGGTCGACCTGCTACCACTACTCTTCGACCTAGATCTGGAAAGGAATACCAGCTCATTGACCGATCTATTTTGGAGGGAGATTTGAAGGTATAAATTAGTATGTAAGTTCTAAATATCCAGAAATAACAAAAATTGTATATTCAGAGAAGCTTTGCATTGTGGAGTGTAGAAATGTAACTAATGAGAGGTATTATGGCTGAAACCAGTCTGCTGCATCCTATGTTTATATGAAACTAGCATGAACTTTGTATTCTGTCAACATTAGTAAAAAATGGTTTCTTTTGTAATTGGTGCTATCCAATGAGCTAAGTAGAAATAGTTATTTGTTTAAGTATTAGTATAAATTGATGTATATTTGTATAAAATTACTTCCTCTTGCTTTAGTCCTAGTAATTATGTAATAATATTGGCCAAGTGTATGAGTAAATTGTGAAAGTGAAAAAAAAGTTAATTGATTGGTTAAATTAGCGGTTTTATGTAATTATAAGTCCAAATATTCACTTTAGTAGAAGAACAAATTTTAAAAATCTTGCTTTCATTGATCTGAGAGTGTGCTTTTCATATTTTGTTTCTCTAGTAGAATAAATAGAAACAATGAATTAAGAATCTTTATGAGAAAATATAAGAGAAGAATAAGAGGAATTCAAATTTTCTCTTAACTAGATCATGAAAGTAAACCAAAATAATGGATGATTTCTTCAGTGCTGTCACTCGGCAAATGTCAACAGGGGTCCTGAAAGTTAGTGGACCCAAAATTGATTGGATCATGAGCACTCCACTCTCTTCCACCCTCACAAAAACACACCACACACACCACGCACACGCGCGCACACGCACACACACACACACACACACACACACACACACACACACACACACACACACACACTGTCACTCTTGCGTAGTCGCAATCAATTGCACCTTCTCTCCCACCAAAAACAGGCATCATATACCCCTTGACAAACAGACTCGAATCCAAACACTCATTCATCTGAAATTTCCCCTTCTCTCCCTCCCTTTCCTATCCTTCCTCTCCCAACAACAGCTTGTCTGGATAGCGAGAGACTCCTTTCACTCACACCTCCTCCTTCCTGTTTGCTGCACACACCAGCCTTCACTCACCCAAACTAGGAAGTGTTTCTCCACCAGTCCCAGATAGCAACTATCACATGAAGATCACTCTCACGCTCATTTTTCACACCCTTGAACACACTCACAAACATGCACACTGACACACTTGCATTCACACTTATGCACACTCATACACACTTGCATATTTTTTCAAACTTTCATATGTTTTTCAAAATTGTTATTTTTTGTGGGCAAAGAGTTCAGTTTTGCTCTAGGACTGAAATTGTCTAGTAGCAGTACAGACCACAACAGACCAAAAAATTGATGCACAGGCTGAATAATGATGCAGTTGAATTCAGATCCTCAAATTTGTTAAAAGTCAATATTAAATGTAAATAATAATTATGTAGGAAATATTCATTGAAATATGGCTGATTTATGTAATACAATTTATGCCATTGAATTGGATGAGATTGGAAAATCAAGTAGTTGGTGAAACTTAAAAGAAATGCCATAAACTAATAGGGAAATGAAGAAGTATCTTCAAAACAAATGAGACATAAAGTCCAATTTCAGTCAATTTATTAACTCACTTTTTTTTTAATAAAAATAGTAATTTTAAAAGTTAATGGCTGTGACAGCAATTTATAGGTACAAAATTACTGTGTATTCAAACTGTACCAACTTATAAGATATAAAATTGTCATGTGCTAGCCAACTAATGCATGTAGGACTTTATATGCTTAGAGAAATTGTTCTTTTCTAGTAGAAATGTAGCTTTAAAGATGTGTTGTATGGTTTGTATTTTGTGTAAAATTAAAATCTAAATTTTTATTGAACCAAATTATTGATTTTGTTGATAGCATCCTGTCCTTTTCAAATTTATGCTTGCTTTATGTGAAAAGTACATGCATTGAATATTATTCCATAATTTTCATCAAAATAATTTTCAATCAAATCAAACCTGGTGTGATTGTACATTAGAAACTGATTATTATCTTGTTTCAGGCACACTGTCCTGGACCAGCTCCTATTGACAAAGGAGGACACCAGCTCCGGGGTTTGGTCGCACCTTACGCAAACATTACTCCTGTGCCTGAGAAGTCAGAATCACCTTCACCAGGCTATATGAGTGGTTCCCCTGGTCAAGAAAGAGAAGATCAACCACTTATTCCTCATGCCTACCCAAAGTGAAGCATATCTAATGTGTATATGTCATCCCAGCCAAGTCTGAAATTTTATAAAAAAATTTATACCTCATAGGTTCAAAGTCCTTGGATATTAGTTTCTGTTCAATGAATCATGTGTCTTGTTTGTATTTCTAACGAGACTGACATGAGTGTGGTGCTGTGTGTGTACTAGACTGAGCTACCATTGACTGTGTAAATACCTGAATGTGTGCTCCATTGATAATTAAAAATGTACCCAATTAGGATCGTCATTATGCTCATAATCCAAGATATTTGGTATTCTCAAACTGAGCTTAAAAAGTATGATTTTTTAAATAACAGTTTCTATTATCTCTACCTAATCTTTATCATTATGCATATTTTGATATCACATAATATATTTAGTAATTTGCAGTGAATTTAACATTTCTAAAGGAACTGTAGATTTCCTCTTCAAAAACATTGTAAATGAGCTGTATGTTAGCTTGCACTTTTTTAAAAATGAGAGAGGGATTTCTTGAGATAATCTTTTTCTACATTTAAATGATATATGCAATATTGGGGCATTTTTCTTGTCTTGAGAGTTGCATATATAAATATGTGAAAATATATACTGATTGGGTGGTTTTCTACAGAAGAGAAAATGGATTTATTTGTTTGTGAATATGAGGTTTGGAATGAGTACGAAATGTGAGTGTGATTCTCTTCCTAGTCAGTTATCAAAGATTTTCAAAATCAATACAATTACTTGAATGTTAGTACTTAATGTCAGTGTTTGTCAAAAATTACACGACAAGAATAAACTTATAACATTGCATCAAAGGCCAGATGAAACTGTGTCATGTAAACTTCAAGCAATTCAGCTTGGAAAGAAACTGTCATGAACACATCATAGAGCCCCATAGAGTTCCTCAACCACCCACCAGGCTCAGAGTATTAGCAATCTTAGTTGCCATTAACAGCCGTTATTAACATCAACCTGGATTTGTTTGTTCAATTCGATACCTTTTCTGGATGTAAGGAAACACATCCAGACATTTGTTTCATCTGTGGCATTACTAATGAAATAGAGGTAAAATGTACAGTTTGATAGTTTAATATTATAGGTGATTTTTTCATCGTTTGCTTTGGTGAAAAAGTCGAAACTTGTACAGTGAGTTCATTGCAATTGAAATGGAACCAATATTACTGTGGTATAGTCATCATCATTATAAGATATGTATAATTTTTTAGTTGCACATTGTAAAAAGTTCACTGTGAGAATTATTAATTTCATGTTACAAGTATTTTGCCTTCATTTCTGCATTTTGGTTGTATACTGTTTCAGAGGTGCAGGTTATGGTGATGGGTTATTTTCCAATGTTGAAAAATACTGTTTCATGACATTTACCAGTCTATTGTATGAAAATTTATATACAATGTTCAGACAAATAGTCTTTTGTGTCAGGAATCTTAAAACTGTTTGCACAGAGCTGCTTTGAACTAAAAGTACTACTTGTGCATTCAAACGTGTGTTTCAAATTCCTTTCCCAAGATTCAGATGTCACCCAAACTCCAAAACAGAAAGCACTTGGAAATCCCATAAAATATAATTGTTACTGTATTAAATGCTGGACTGAAAGAGAATTTTTGAAACTATGTAGGCAAATTTGCCTTTGTGTGAAACACCTCTCGTGTGTTGCTTGTGCAGTTACAGTATTGCCATCAGGCAAGTTTCATTAAAAACTAGTCAAAGGGACTTGATCAGTACTGAAGAATAATGTTCAAGCATCACAGAGATGCAAAGGAAATTGCTGAGTGCTGTGACGTGTCCAGAGCTGTATGCCTAGTGTAATTAATGCCAACTGGAGAACATTGTACAAAGGTTTAGAGATACAGTAAAAAATTATTAAATCAAGCTTTTATTTTTTATTAATGTATCCTTGTCCTTATCTAAATTGTGTATATGACTAGGTAGTGGGGTATTTTCCTCTCTGGCTGCATGGTTAAAAATAAAACTTTTCATTACTTTAAAATTATTTTATGGTAACTTATAATTTTCCAATATACACTTAGCATGTATCTCATCTAGCCCTCAGAAGTTTTGCTTCTTGTACTTCTGCACTTAACTGCAAACTTATCAAATAGTGTAAAGTCTCTGTTAGACAGTGTCTGTAAGACACATGAGAGTAAAATGGACAGCTTTTTTCCTAAAAGTTGCAGAAGAAAGTTTCAAGTTTCAAAACTCTTCAGGGGTCATCCAGATAGTGCCATACACTAACACACATGTCATGCCTACAGTACACATAAGTTTCATATCACTTTAGTAATTTTCAGTTGTCACACGTGTCATACTAGCCTATACTGTTGAAATGTAAGACACCGGAAGAGGTGACAGAAAACAACGGTGTGCCACAAGAAGTGCAATAATGGTCTTACGATGATGTTCTTATGCAGTATATTCAACTCTCTCTTTTGGAGACCAATGTCTTGTAGATGATGTGGAGATTGATTCTTAGAAGTTTGCTTAACCCTTCAACTCTGTTTCTGCATTACTTACATGGACTCTTGACCCCATATGTGCTACTGGAATTACGCCCCCATGGATTCTATTTGGAATTATTAAGAAAATGATACTTTTGCTTCATTGACTATATCATTCTAAAAAAACAATAAATAACAGTATAAAAATCTAGCATATCCTTATTTATAACTATACATTGGCATGAGCATGAGAATGTCTGATATAAAACTACTCACTCGTAATAGACAAATATGCCACATTTTCATTCAGAAACATCAACATATAATAAAACAGAAATGGATATGTTTTTAGAATTGTTCTGATATTTTAGGTGTGTAACGTGAAATCTATTTGGGAGCATTTCTGACCCTAGCTGCATAAAAAGTAAAATTACCTCAAACCAAGAGAAATAAACAAACTGAAAAGTTTACAACACACGTAAAACTGGAAGTAAATAACATATCTATAAGGAGAAGTTCATGTGAATAATTTTCAGTGTTGCAAAACATTATTTGTGACTGGGGTCACAAAAGAACCCAAACAGAGTCTAAGGGTTAAGGGGAGGTTGTACACATCATAGAACCAAAATTTTCAATTTTTGTTTTTTGTGTTATTTTGAATCTTTAATATTCACTTGACACAGCACAATATATATTTTTGAGATATTATGTTCCTAAGGTCTTTTAAATGAAATTGAAATGTCTAGCCTCACCAAGCATCATATCCGTTTTTTCATTACTAACATAACATATTACATTATAAACATCACTATATGATGTTTATTTTTTTGAAGTCATTTTGTGGGGAAATTTCTTTCTTAGTTGTATTTAAAGTGGTGTGGCAAAGCTGCTTCACAGTAGTAATTTGTTTCCTGTCATTTTGGCGGCATTGTTTTTGTTAATATCGAGACGAAGTTTGTATAATGAGCATATATATTTGTAGTGTCCTACTTTATCACAGGCTAAAAAAAGGGATGAAGAGATGGTAGAAAAAGTTGAAAATGAATAAGATTCTAGGAACAAAGAGGAAAAGTTCAGAGAACGAGGAGGAAGATCCTGATGAACTAGAATGTGCTAAACTGCAGACTGAAAGTATGATAAGGAGCATGGGTATATAATTGATACCTTTATTAGAAGTTGTTTATTAATATTACGTACAATGGACTAATGTCCAATATACTTTTGACATACATAACAAGCGACGGAATAAATGGCATAGACTTTCTCATAATACAGTCGACTCCGGTTGTAGTGAACTTCTAGGGACTAACATTTTTGGCTCACTACATCTGATGATGCCATAATTAAACACACAAATTTTCCCACAACGATTGATTTTACAAATAAAGATGCAACAAAATACATTAACAGCACGAAATAAAAATTACAATATCTTGATTTGTCCTTAAAAAATCAATTGTTTGCTTCGTACGTTTTTCATTAGTAATTTCTGTAGGTCCTCCACCAGAGTTCGTGCTCCGTCAATACTTGATTCTGTCTTGTCCACTGCCTCTGAGTATCGTAATGCAGTCTTGACACCCTTCAATGTCTGCTGGAACACCGCCCCACTCTTTGTAGGCCCTTTTACTCGCCTAGTAACATACGAGATCCTGTCGCGGGATGGCGCGAGCGGCTAATGGAACGGATCATTTTCCGCGTGGCACGGTGGATTTCCTGTCGCCTACGTACAACACAATGCGCTTTGTCCCGCGGAATCTCAAGAAACATCGAGTTTGAAACTGGAGCGAGGAATCGCGCGTGGCCGCAGGACACTGCCAGTTGTAGAACACGCAGGACACCGCCTTTGTTTCCGCAGTGAAACTGAAGAGCATAAGATCATCGGTAAGGTCCCCTACCTTCACCTTAGGGGAGACTTCTATTATGACCTTTGGCATTGACTTTTTCCAAGCTGCCTGGTATTGCAATTTGTGGCATCGAGGTGACATTTTTTTCAGGAAGCAATTAATTTCCAGGACGTTGTCTTTCTAACGTTCACTAGAGATGAGGTTCAGGTTAACTATAGCCGAAGCTTCATATGCTCATTTATAATGTAAGTGAAACGGGACCAGTGACTTAAGTCCACTATAACCAAGGGTTCACTATATTCGAGTTCTCTACGCAGGGCCGGATATTCCTATAGGCTAACTAGGCTTCAGCCTAGAGCCTCACGATCAAGAGAGGCCTACACTCAAATTGTTGGCAAAATTAAAATTACACCATTTTAAAAACCGAACCGAACTGAACCGAAAATAAGGAGAAATTTTACGCGTATGACTTAAACAACTCCGCCTTCGGTTATTGCTGGGTGGATCGAGTAGCTCAGCAATGCCGTTGCCGGTCTCAAGCCCGGATAAAGGAGGAGGGGCGACCTGCCCGGAGCATAAAGATAGAAATGAGCTCATAGAACAAAGGATAAGCCTCGGA